TACTTAATACTCCTTCCTCCTCCTATTTTCCCCACAACAACAACCCTGTGAGGTGAGTTGGACTAATAGAGAGTGACTGGCCCAAAGTCACCCAGCTGGCTTTCATGCCTAAGGCGGGACTAGAACTCACAGTCTCCTGCTTTCTAGCCTGGTGCCTTAACCACTAGATCAAACTGGCTCCACAGTCCATAAACAAACATAGCATCTCTACTATTCTTCAGAGGAAGCCATTTTTCCTCCAGGATTCTGTGCAAGCCTGAAAACAAATTGTGGCTGCTTTAAAAGTTGTACTGAAAGTAGCGGCATTTTTCTCAGGTTTGCATCAAAGACTGGAAAAAAAAACCCTCCTTGAATTACCTATTCTAGCAAGATATAATCATTCCACTACATCTTTCTACCTTTTAAAAGGCAATTCAAATTGTGACTGCCACATTTTTTAAAAGATAAAACCATCTGTTTCAAAGGGAATGGTTCTGCTTTTCACACAGTTATTTTTAAGTGGAGAATTTCACTGGCCACTTTTTCCAGATTTTTCTTCAAAAATTAAGTTGTAATATATAGTACCCATCACAGTTCTTAGTAAGTGCTTAAAAAAATAATTCACACAAGCAGTTGTGCATATACTGTACACAGATGCTGTGATGTTTCAGGAAGTAGAAAGTAATTCTTTGCAAAATATAAAGTTGCATTATTAACAAGGATTAAATTACTAGTCCACCTTTGAGTTGGTTTATATAGGTTGTGGTAGGTTGTGGTTTATATAATTTACCTAATCGATTAAATCAAAGTGGGCCCCCTCCACCAAGTTTTTTTCTTTTTTAATTTCAAAATATTTGATCCTAATCAAGAACTAGACATATAGCTGTGGCTGTATCTGATTACTTACTTTTGGCAATGTCCATTCTGACCGAGTTCCATCTGTATTGTAATAGTATGCCCGACCTTGTTCATCTACATGTTTTACCCACTTCAGAAACAAGAAAGTTAATAAAATAGTGATTAATTTAAAAAGCAGAACAATGAACAGTTTTGAAAGTATTGAAAGTCTAATTATGTTATATTTGAAAATCTTGTGTGTCAGGTATAAAACAGTTTTCACAAAAGTGAGCTGACTTCAGACAAGGCTAGAAACAATTGGAAGGGAAACCCATGGGAGTCCCTAATTTAAGGAACATTAACTAAATATCTTACTTTCAACAGTCAGTGCCATCGCATAACCAAATTAAGCATAAATTCACAGTACATACAATTTTCATTAAGTATAGTTTGTAGGAACGTACAAAGCAGAACCTATTACCTCTAACAGAACAGTAACACAGCTGATTATTTTTCAGCATTTTCTTACCAAAGATTGCATCCACAGAGATGTATCAAAAGAATATGAGAAAATATTACTTTGTTTATAAATGTAATATAGAGAGGATTTTGCCCTTTGTTATTCCCTTAATGGAGAGTGCTACAATCTCTAGAGAGAAGATTCCCAACTCTTTTTCTACATGCAATTGTAGATGGCAATCTAACCTGTCTATAAATCAGCAGAAGGCAGAGACTCCCTTTTGGCTGAGCAAGCTGTTAAACCTTCTCCATCTGCTTTTTGTTCAGACAAACCAAAAAAAAACCCTAGACAACTTTTTTAGAAAAGTTCAAGAAGGAGACAGCGGAATTACTCTTATAGCTCCCTGATGGCATGTGGCTGCTTGGATGAATACAGTGAAAAACTAACTTTTCAAACATAGCAGAGCTCATTTCCACTATATTTTCTGTTCTGCAATTTTACTGGAAGAAAAGAAGAAACAGTATCCGCCTTGTCTGAGCAAGAGGGTTCATGCACAGTTTGTTTCTTTATTTGTTTCTATTTTCTGCACCCATGCTAGGGGGAAAAGGAGGGGAAAAGGATTAAGTCCACCCAGCCAAATGGATTCAATAAAGAACCCTATTTTAAGGGGAGCACATGTGATTTCTATTCTCCTACCACATCCCCAACTTTGACAAAGATCCTACCTCATATGCAGACTTCTAAGTATCTTTATTCTGAGCTGGGTTATATAATCACTCCTTTCACCATTCCAGGCAGAGATTAAGGACCTCATACTGTTTCAAGGAGGACAGGGCAACTAAATATTCATAATTTAACTGTTTTTGTTGTTAGTACATCCAGGCAAATATTTATTTTCAAGGCTGATCTCTTACTACTCCTAGAAAAATCTTTTAATTTTAAAAAGTATGCTTTTTGATTTAAATACTGTATTTTATACATGTAAATATACCAATAGGAACTAAACTGTTCAATCCCACAAAGTACCTCTTTCAAACCCATTTTAGAGTTATTCTTAAATAAAAGTGTTCCTGTAGTACAGTCAAATGAAAAGTAATTGTTCAGAATGAGACATATTCATAGTCCAGAGATGATAATACCACTAGAATAATGACAACTTTGGAGCAAACATGGAGCTGAGAATATGTCCTTAAGTCTTGTTCCTGACATTAAGAGGATATACAATCAGCAATTATAGAATTTTTATTTTCAACACAAGTGGAAACTAAACATAGAATAGCCTTTAAAGACAGTTTGTTAAACATAAAAATGGATAAAAGCAGACAAAAAAAATTCAAAAGAGAATAAGAGGACGCTGATGTTATTCAGAACTTTACTGATAGTTATGAGGAAAAAAAGTCATACCCATTAGAATTTTTACTCACTAAATTTCTACTACTTTAGCAGATATGTGATGAAGAACTGTGTACCTTTTCATTGGTGTAGTCACTGGTATATTGTGTGTGGCCATGTTCATCCATCTCTTCTGACCAGCCTTTGGGAGGAGAATCATATTGACTATCTGGCTGGCTGTTAGAAGGGCTGTTAGAGTTTTCTTGTGTTGAAAGAGTCTACAATGGTCAAGCACAGAAACATTGAGAACTGACATTAGTTTAAATTCTATAAAAGACTGGAAACTGTCTAATATTAAAACTTTAAATGAAAAATTAATTCTAACATTAAATGGCCAAAACATAAATAGTAACACAGTTTTAATCCGATTATTTATGAACAGATTGCTTTTGGAAAAGATGAAATTCCTGTTCCTTTTGTGTGTGTCAAAGTTAGCTTAGTTTAGAAGCAACATTTACAAGGGCTGTGAACTGATCTGTATCACAATTAGTTCCACTGACAAAAATGTGGCTAAAGCAGCACTTCCAAGCCATCTGGGATATGCATAATTCTTAACCCTACTTCTGCTCTCCTGGCCTTTCCTCTGTAAAGATTATCCAGAGATTATTTTAAAATTTCTTTTTGATTTTTGATTCTCCTTGTAGCTAGGCTTCCAAATCTAGAAGTCTGATTTCTATATTTTATCATGTTTCTATGAAAACCTAAAAACAAGTCACTACCCTTGCTTTTTTTTTTTTTTACTAATACTAGTAACCCCAGTTCTAGAGTTATGGAAAAGACACAACTTCTAAAGTATTGGAGACAGACAGTAAGGTCATGTTCCTACAGTGTTCAAAGCACTTAAGATTGAATCCAGTGACCTAACCCTGAAATAAGGGCACTACACTGATAACACATTGTAACTTTCACAGCGGCACTCTCAAGGGTCACCCCACTGAATTTCTCAAATTATAATTATTCATTATGCTAAATTTAACATAATGCACCCATACGTCCTGCTGCCTTATGACAGTAATTCTCCTATTCCAATTCATGTTGAACGTAACTTATTAAAACTTTATTAATCCATTTTTGCTGCTTAGCATTTTTAGAAGCATGGGATGCATTCATTATTAATTTAGAAGATTCAAAACTCGGTGACAGCACATGCTTAGCATGCAGAAGCTACGAGGTTCTCCTTCATGCACAAGATAAAGGACAAATTCCTTCCTGACACCATATTACCAATTAATATGGAAAGTACAGTGACAGACAGACCAAGGCAGCATTTCTCCAAGTGTGGTCATGACCCCTACAAGGCTGCAAGAGAGGGGAGACAGAAGCATCCACAGCAAGGGGGAAATGTCAAAACATGTGTCATGACATCACAATACAAACTCTGCCCCTTTCACACTTGTGTTATAATGTCCCATGTAAATATATAAAGGATGGAACTTGTGTGGTGACATCACAACACGTTTTGTTTTTTTGAGAAAACCTTAGCTTGTTGTAGATGCCCATGGATGAAGAGTCACCTTCTTTTCATGTTCTTTCTAAGCAGGCTTACCAGCTCATTGCAAAAGTATGCTGAACATAACACAACATGACAATTCAAAAGCCTTGTATGGAACCTGAATGTACTTTTCGTTTTTCTTGATACTCTGCTTTTGACTTTCAAAGCAGGAGTAATCAGGCCTAGAGGGCACAAGTCTTCTAGGCAAAGCTCTGACCATTTCACCTGACACTCACTCTGCAGAGGGAATTACTACAGAGGGCATGAGAGAAGAAAGTTATGAGGGGGTGTGGTTGTGCTTTGAACAAATGTACCAGAAGTAACATACAGCCTCCCTGTGTTTTGCAAACTGCACTATTTTAAGAGAAACTGACTTCAGGTCAGGAAGCAACTTTTTGTAACTTGGCCTTGGTGAATGAGAGTGGCTGTCTTTAAAATGAAACACAGATTTCAAGGTTGTGCAAAGTTTAGCAAGCTCATCCTTCTCATTAAAAACATGGTTCAAAATGTCATTGGGCTTTTTTTCTTATCTGCAGTGAAGCAGTTTTATTTTATAAATTTGTAAGGTTCTATCTTTTAAAAGGAATTAGAGATAAACATTAATTTTTAAAAAGTATTTCTTACCAAACTCCAACATCCATAAAGTTATGTTTTATTTGGGACATGGGGTGTATATCTTCTTTTTATCATTTTGGGGATTACAGGATTGCAAAGTTTGAGGACCTCCAGACTAAGGATTCACAATGTGGCTGGGTTCATAAGCTGCACTAAGCCCTAAATCTGGCTGGGTTCATTCAACACACTAAGTTACACCTAGACAAACCACATTATGGCTTAGTGTATTAACTAACCATGGGGCAATATCCTACGTTCTTATGATGTGTTAACTAAGTTGATTTAAACAAAAACTATATTAAAAAACTGGCTTATGTGTTAATATATGAGTTCACAAATGTGTACTGTAACTATGCATCAATTTATATGTAGTCTAAGAAAACTTGTCACATCGTTACTAAAAAGTAGTATGTTTTATATATTGTGATCTTCAAAAATAAATACAAGTACCACTAATATCCAACTTTTAGAAATTATTTCAAAAATTCAAATTTAACAATGAAAATCTCAGCAGATGCTTTGAGGGGATAGGTCAATATAACTAGAAATTCCAAAACTTCCTGAACATAATTACAAAGTAAATCTCTTCATCTCTCAGACAAAACCTTTCAAGTTTTGTTAATTTAGGTTTAACATATTGGCCATTGGTATTTAGATGTATCCAACTTTACAAATGATAAACAAAAAATGCTGTAAACAATATAGGGAAAACTGTATTAATGCCACTCTTGAGATCCTTGGAAGAGACAGAAATACATAAACAAATAAGTTAAAAATAGCCTAGGTAGGAAGGTTTCTTTAATCATTTTCCTCCATTCATGTTAACTGGAGCTCCTCTCATCTTTCATTTACAGTTAAGGCAGACTAGTCACCACAGCACTAAAAATGCTTGAACTAGAGCTACTGTTTTTGAAGCTGTCCATCTAGTAAAATATATATATATAAAATTACCAGATTGTTTTAGAATCACAGCAGTTTCGTTAAAGAAGAAAACCAAGAAGTGCCTACAATAATAGCATACAATCTTGTCTATTGTCTTGAATGTTCATACTACATCTAAGAAAAATGACAGCAAAGAGTGAAAGGATCAAATAGGTACTAGTAATAATCTTAATGTTCAATGTAAAGTATAAATTGTGGTAGTCAACAGTTGGGAAAACAAACAGAAGGGAAGGGGAGAATGTGTTACTAGAAAATTTTCCCATAATGTTTTTATTTATACTTAATAGTTATTTCTTGTTGTGCTATTCAACTTTACTATGTAATGTAGACTTTTTTCCTTTGCATTTCATTATTCTAACAATTAAAGATAAATATTTTTTTTTAACTTAAAAAAAAGAAACATGATAGTAAAGAGTGAGGTTTGCTCTAAAAATGTCATGCACGCAAGATCTATTTCATTTTATTTGACTCTACTATCCTCAGACAGCCAAAGTAAAAAAAAAGGCTATTAAACAGTTGATAGTAAAAAAAAAAAAGGCTATTAAACAGCAAAGATATAAAAGTTTTGTTCATTATTATGCATACTGCTCAGGTTACCTCTTGATCTACTTGGTTCAAAGAGTCTCCTTTACTTATGCTTGGATCCCGAGTCCAGCGTGGTGGTTTCCAGGTTCTCTCTTGTGTTCCTCTGTTGTAATAGTAATAGCGTCCTGTAATATCCTTATGGGTCTCCCACTCCCCACTAATTTGGACTGGAGGACTTATAGGTACGGGTGGGAGTGCAGACTGAGAAATCTTCAGTTCTTGCAAGTTAGCATAAACTGGTGAATCTGGTCTTCCTTGGCTTGGTGGTGTTGTTGGCTATGATAAAACAAATTGTGTACAATTTTAAAGATCATAATTTTATGGCAATAAATGCAGGCATAAATATTTGGCATATATAGTACATGCAAGTGAGACACTGAATGCTTTCAATAAGGAAACACAGTTCAGAAATGCAGCAATGTAGGGAATTAGAAACAAGTTACATTCCTTAAATCTAGTGGGAAAAAATACAGGCATCATGGGTGGGGAGTTCTGTAAAAGAATCTTAAAGTTGCTGAAACTGAGAAACACTGCTATAAATTCTAAAGGCAGAAATCTAGTTGTAGCTTGAGAACAGAACAGAAATCTGCTTTTGTAGGGTGCTATAATGGTATGTGGGAATGACCTTGGGAGACTGGGCCCAGAGATGCTGCCTAGGTAACAGTCAGATAAGAAACAATATAGTCCGCAGCTGGATAGTAGGCAGGGCAAGAGGCTCAGAAGAGACCCTCCCTAATTTCTCAGGGTGTAAAGGAGACATGGAGAGAATTGTACTTTCAGACTTGCAAGATTCTGTTAATGTAGCCTTACATTAACAGTAGAATTAGCTCATCTAGTCACTTTTCCTGTCTAGTCTACCTGGTAAGCCTGACAGGTGCTGTGTGGTGCTCTGAAAAACAACTCTATTTTAATTAATCTTCTTGTGTTTAAGCTCTACATATCAGTAGGGACATGAACAATAAGCTAGCTTATTATTTTTGCTGCCTGTTACACACTGGGCACTGTCTGCAGCATACTAAAATAGTAAACAAAACGTGCATAGGAAAAGCACTGCTTTGCAGATATTTATTCTCTATAAGCAAAGAGTGACAAGGAGCAAAGGAGAGGATGAAGCTAACACAGCTATCCGCACTATCCCCAGATAATTCTCTAATTACCAGGAGAGAAAACCCTGAGCTAGTATGGTATAGTGGTTAGTGCTGCAGTAGGAGTAGGGAAACCCAGGTTTTAATCTTTTCTTAGGCATAGAAGCGAGCTGGTTGACCTTGGGCCAATGACTTTCTCTCAGCCTAATCATCACCAGTCTCTGCAACAAGCCAGCTGAAAAAAACCCTCCTTGTCACATCTTTGCTATGTGAACTGAAGCCAGCGTAGTGTAAAACAAGTGGGACAAATCCTTGGAACCACAACAGCATCTTTGGGAGCCTTTCAATGAATCAGACTGTATATACCTTAAAAATGAAACATAAAATGATGCAGATTTGTTATCGGTAGAAGTTCATTATTTCTTTAGACTCAGGTATGCCACCAGATGTCACCATGGAGTTCGGTACAGTCAGAGAAATTTTATTTATCCAA